ACACACACACACACACACACACACACACACAAAATATATTTTCTAAAGGCCATAATGAATATAATGTTATTTAAAATGTTAATGTTGGATGAATGAAAACAAGCCAAATTGAAACAGGAGTAAAATTTTTCTACCTACCTTTTTTAAAATGTAAGAAGTCGAAGGAAAAGGTCGACTGAAAATTAATTACACAAATAAAGTATAGCTAACCAGAATTTCTACTTAAGTACCATAACAAAGTATTTGTACTTTGTTACTTCAAACTCTACAGCTGTGCATGATGCAGAAACTGAATCCTGATTATTGGAGCAATGAAAAATCTTTTATTGCTTTACCAATTTTCTAAATTGAATCAGTTATATAAAACACTATATGTAAAAACTGTGTGAAAATCATTTTTTCTGTTTAAAGACATTTCTAACTGAATACCTACCAACAGTCTTAATTACCACACTTCATTTTCTCTGCTTCCATCTACTGGTGACTTTAGGACCTGTTGAACTTATACAAGGCCATTACAATCTATCAAACAAATATATTCCCCAAAAACTGTGACTTGATTTAACCTCAGAGTTCTTTCACCTGGGCGTCCTTATGGTCTCTTCCATGAGCCAGGCACACAAAGAGCCTAACGACACTGTGGGTGAGGAGTAAGATTAAATTGCATTTGACTTCAGCTCACAAACATTTAATCTAATTTCATTTTAAAGCTATAAACTGTACAGATGCAATTTTATATCAATGTAATTTAAGGTTTAATATAATATGAAACCTAATGATATAATAAAGTTAATTGTCATATCAAGTTATTTATTTAAAACCTAAAAATTTGATGAACAGAAAACTGGTAAAATTGCCCTAACCATGATGGTACTGTAGTATTGCATGTGTACGCAAGAGGGCGCTACGGGACGGGTTCCTGGTGTGGAAATTTAGAAATATTAAAGCGCATGCGCACAACGTTCCGACAGCGGGACAAGCTTTCTTTCCGGTGGACCTCCCAACCAAAGACTTATAAAGGCTAGATAAGTCATCTCCGCTGTTTGCCAATGGGACGGCGGCCATCTTGGTACGGAGAGCTCGCCCACTCTTAACATGAATGTGTGTGGTGCATGTACTTTTTAAATAACCATGACTTGGTCAATTTTGATCGGATTGTCAAACGAATTTTTTTGTTGTTGTAAATGTGAGACATGTTCTTATAAAATGGCATACTTATAATGGACATTCATATAACAATTACGTTATTATGATAAGTAAAGTAATATCAATATATACACAGAATACATTTAGGTTGACTTTTACAGGAATTTACAAATAAAAATATAAAGCAAAATTATACACAAGTTTTATACAATTATACAAGTCAAAAAATAGTACAACTAGCAGTGGTAATTAATATGAAAGAACCCTGTTTTATAAATGTTATATTTTTGTCCCTAGACATGCAAATATCAGCCTTTATAATTCTTTTACATAATAAAATAGTGCCTATGGCACACGAAAATCCGATCAAAATTGGCCAAGTCATGGTTATTTAAACAGTAAAAGCACCACACACATTCATTTTAAGAGTGGGCCACCTCTCCGTCCCAAGATGGCCGCCGTGTGAGGACGCCGTGCCGTAGACTCTAATCTGTTTTCTAGTTTGTATATTTATGTCTATGCTCCCAACATCAACACGGATGTTTTGATTCGACAGCCGCRCCTCATTCCCAGGACCACCGTCAGCCATGTTGGCATCTGCAGGCTTCGTGTTGGTGATTTTAGCCGCAGTCTTGTTGTCAGGTAAGATAAGGAAAATATTTACCCGTTTGTCCAGTCGTCGTATTTTTTCTCCACTGACTGTAATTTATTTTGTATAATCCCTGGCTAACTCAAAGGACAGGCTATATGCTGCTATATGCTAATTACTTGAAGTTATATTATGCATATATTCATGGTATTTTCTGTCCCTGTCTGCATCCTGTATCTGTGATTTCACTGAAGGAGACTCCAGATTTATTGCTGAACCCCTGGTAAGTACTGAAGTGGTGGTGATCACAGTGTTTTAATTATAATAATGTGAATATTGTCTCACAGTGTACTCTTCTTTACCAGACGCTGGATGTGTGTCCAGAATGCAGACAGATCATCCAGCTGTCAGCCAACATGATTTTCAGCAGTGATGCTAAAGTAAGAAAGTGCACAGCTTTACCTTTACTTACAAAACGGGTTCGTATTGTAAGGACGCAAGGAACTAAAAGGATAAAAAGCAGCATTGTGTAGGCTTGAATTAATTTTCATGTTTTTAATCTAACAGAACATGTTTTTGTTAACAAAWATGTGCACCTTTCACAAAATGTTTTTGCTTTTGTTTGTTTGTTTGTTTGCAGGTCACTGTATTTAAAACCTTGCACGCTTTGTGTCAGAGGCTTCCCAAAGAGCAGGCTTCAGAATGTGAGTCACAGGTGAAAACATACCTGCCAAAATTCCTGCGGCAATCACCTGACCAACAGGTATGATGTTAGTTTTGTTTTTTACATTCAGGTGGTTGATTTGTGACTTCTTTTTAATAACATTTATTTATTTATCTTTTTTAGAAACCAGATGAGATCTGTGAAATTTTCACACTCTGTGCCTCCCATAAGATGAGCGAGCTGCAGAAACTTCACCATGTCACCAACGTTGATGTGCCCGGTGCTGCGTTTAGTTCTGCGTCTAAGAACAAAGTACGTTTATGAGAAAGCAGAAGTGAAACAGAAAACAGTGGAAGTGAAATTTTGCGGTGCGTTATTCACAAGCCACCTGTGTGACCCGTTCCTCTTTTTTAGGAGTCTTTAAATCCAATTTGCCCCTTGTGTCTGATGGTTATCAAGAAGCTGGAATCGCTGCTGCCTAAAAACATGACTGAGGTGACTTTTCAGGTCAAACACAATCTCTTACAGTAATGCCCGTCACTTCCTGGCAGACCGTCTTCTCTGTTTTGCCCTGCAGGAGGCTTTAATGAAGCTCATGGGAGAAGTCTGTGACCTGATACCTAAAAGCTACAAAGAGGAATGCGATGATTTTGTCGACAAATACGGCACGGAGATCGTTGAATTCCTTTTATCGTCGGCTGCGCCTCACACCATCTGTACCCTTCTGCACCTGTGCTTGTTTGAGACCCGGCCAGTTCCAGGTCCGTCCAGCAAAGAACTTCCCTTGTTTTACCCTTTACTCTAAATCTGTGTTCTAAAGTTATATTTACAAACCATGAGTCTAACTTCTTCTGGGCTGTGAACTGAAACTCTCTTTTCAGCAATGACATGCCACAGTCATATGTCAAACTGTCCCTGCAAGACACTGAACCCCACTGCCTCCACTGTGTGTCCCACCAGTGTATCAATGTGATTTGAAGAACTTGAAGGAAATTTTGTAACTGGTTGAATGTTAGATCCAGTGTTATATTTTTATACATTCTGATTTTTGCAGCCATAAGGTTTAAAACCGAGAATGAGAGTTGGTGTTTTATCGATGTGTTTCTGTCTGTATGAACAAGCAGCCTGAGCTCGGTTTTTATTTTTTTTTACATTCAGAGAAGATGAAGGTCATTTTACTGTGAGGCCTGATGAGTGTGTGCTGCTGGAGCTGATTGGAGTGAGAAGAGATTCAGCTGTTTTCTGATATATTATTCAGACTTCCATGTATTGATCATGATTTCCCTTCACACCGATTAGTCTCTATAGGATGATTTGTACGTGTTAGCTTTGTAGAGCCATAAGTGCTGTGTGAATGGGTCAGTGAGGGCAGACTGTAGTGTAAAGCACTTTGAGTATCCTGGTTGGATAGAAAGGCACTATGAAAGTACAGTCCATTTACCATTTTCACCATTTATCACAGTTTTTAGGTGTTGAATGCATTGAAATAGTTTTTTTCAGCTCTGCAAAGTTTGTTTTACTAAAATGTACAGATATTTTAAAGATACTGAGTCTCTGAACCCATAGGTTTTTATATAATTGCTAATGTGTCACAATATATTAAGATTAGTTCATAATTTGGCAAATGAACAAAGTTGTCATTGCTTTGGATAAAGCATTGTAATTGCTCCTTGGTAATAACCAAGGATGAGACACTTTAATAAAATTGATTTAATTGGCATATTTTATCAAAACACCTCAAATATTGTCTAGTCCTATTAAACTGGTGGAGATACAGTATGTATACATTTATTTTTAATGGAGACAAATGTTTCTGTAACAGCATACAGCATGAACTCATCTGCTTAGATTAGCTTTACTTGCCTGATCCAGGCTTGAGCCAGAGTTTTATAGAATTAACAGGATTTTAGCCTCAGGCAGCTACTATAATGTCTTTTATTGTCACTGTGTTAATCACCCGCTGGTTTCCAGATGTGCGTCCACCATCAGACTGTGAGTCGTGTCAAACGCTGGCTGCGCTGAGCCGCCTGTACCTGGGCCTCAACACCACCGAGCCTCAGACCTCAGCTTTCCTCCGATCTGTGTGCCTCAATCATCCAAAAGCCGTGCCCAAGGTTCTCATTCCTTACATCTGTCAATTTCTAAAATAAGTAATGATGCATTGTTTTAAGTTCAGTGCATGAAAATACTGTATGACAGAATGATGGTATTTTTACAGTGTCATTTTTAAATGTCGTTTGTTTTTAGAATTGAACACAATTTTAAACTCTTGTTTCAGTGCGAGGCTTTCACCAGAATCTATGGCTTACAGCTGCAGAGGGTTTTGGGAAACCAAATGGACGTTCCACATGTTTGTGAAGTAAGAATACGCTAAAAGTTAAACATATTTTACATGTACAAAATCTGTCAACTTTTGCATCCCAGAAAACAAATTCCTTATATAGTTTACTATCACTTTAACAGAGAAATCCAGGAAATTAAAGAATGCATTGGGATATTTTGTCTCCTGTCCTACAGAGAGCTGATTTGTGTGTTTCATCGAAGCAGCTGGAGCCATTGGGAAAGAATCCCTGTACTTGGGGGCCGAGCTACTGGTGCAAAGACCTGGAAACTGCCCAAAAGTGCGGCGTAAGTCAAGTTTATTTAGTTTTTCCTGAATAAATTATAGATCAGGTTTGTATCATGCACATTAGCACTTATTGAAGAAGCATTTTGAGTCTTTAGACCTATAATTTAAGTTTTATGTTTTGAACTTTCAGAATCAAGTCTTCTGTGAGAAACACATTTGGAAGAAATAAAATCCTGCAAAGCTCAACAATGTGATCTTATTGGTGCACTGATCCATGGTAAAATATTTGATAAATGTAAGGCACTAATCAATCTTTTTGTGTTGGGAGAAATCACCCATTAACCATCGTATTCCAGCTAATAAAGCATAAATGTTCATAAATATTCATTTTGCATGAGATTTAATCTGCAACATCAATCCCTGATGGTTTTCTTTAGTGCACAATAACAATGTGAATATTGATATTATGAATGTGAAAACAAAAAAGCAAAACGTCCAAGAGTCAGCCCTGAGAGGAACTGAGTGTTTATTACAGGCACTTTAAATTACTGTTTTTTTTTTTTTTCTGCATTGTTCTAGTTTTATGTGTAATAATATGCTGTTATTGCAAATGATCATTTCAAAATAAAATTTTGATTGAATATTTGTGTTAAAAATATTCTTCCACACAAACAGACATGTGTCCTGAAAGTGATTTATTTAGAAAACCCCACATGATAAAAAGAACATGGAGACTGTTACACTTCTTTGCTTTATGTGGCTATAAAGACAGCCTTGACACCCATCCCCCAGTGTCTAAAAACTTCATAGAAACATGAAATTACAAATCTGCAAGCCATTCAAAGTGAGACATGTCTTGACTCACTTACTCCCCCGTGTGGCTGTTTGTGTCACTACTTCCTTGTCTCTTCCAGATCTGTCAGAAAATGGAAGGAAATAAAATGTAGTTAGCAAATCTGTGAGGTCTTGTCAAAAACTAATTTACTTTAATTCATTTAAATTGCACAATGATCTTGTTCAGGATTTCTCTCTCTTTTTTTTTTGTAATTATATTAACATTTCAGCCCTCAGATGAAGGAATACTATTTTAGGACTTTACAGAAGTCTTTTAAAGAAATCTTTCAGTTTAGAAATAATTGATATTTAGTCAGCACGCAACTAATAAATGCACATAAATCTTTCATGCCGTAATCAAATRTTGCCATTAATCCTTTCAGGTCGAAAGAATTAAAAAAAGACATTCAAATGTGCTGTGAAAATCGACAGAAAAGCTCAATAAAAATGTATATGTTCTAACAAAGAAGCTACGAGGCAGACGTACCTGGATGTAAGCTTCTGACAGTGTGATCATCTGGGGAAGAATGTCGATCACCTGCAGATCCTGCATCTCATACCACTTCCCTGTACCCTGTTTTAATAACCAACAGTCATTAAAGTCTACAAACATATATTAATGAAACTAAACTAAATGTATTTCTTATAGACAGAAAATACAGAACAAAATGACTATTTTCTAATTTTTCTACTTAAAACTATACAAATGCTGATCTAAAATTGGCCCAAAGCTTTAAAAGTGTATTTTTCCTTGACTTCCAACAACACTGTTAGAAATTTTTAGACCGCAGCTTACGTGATGCAGAACGTGTATTCTGTACGATCCCTCGGTGGGTTTCCCATCATGCACAACGTTTGCAACAAGGTCGTAAGAAGTGTTCTTCTCTGTAGCTTGAGCTTCTTCTGTCAGATACTCAGAAAGGTCCACGTTTCTGCGGCAGCAAAGAAAGTGACAAAGCAGTTCATATTATAGTGAGACGTGCACCTTCAAAGGCAAAGACATCCTAAAAGAGTTCTCTACTTTATGACAAGAATAGACACTTGGGGGGGAAAAGTGCGTTTGTTTTTATGACGAGCGCTTACGTGATTGGAAAATTGACAATCGTTGGGTTTTTTTCCACAAAGAAGTTGTTCTTAGTGAATCTTTTGATGCAAAAGATGAGGTAAGGTGGCAGCTTGGTCAACTGGAACCTTTTGAGAAAATTCTCTTTGTAGGTTTTGTATTCCTGAATGCAAAGTACAAAAATATAAAGTMAGAAATAAATTCTTAGTAGCTTTCGAAACATAAGATGTGGGCACACTTAAAACTAGCTGTGTGTTCATTGTTGAGCGGGTAGGATAACAGGTTGTTTAAAACACGTTACCTTTTCTGTATTGCCAGTGAACTTGCCCAGGATGTTGAAGAGTGGAACCTGTGGGATTATAAGCTGCTCCTTCTCATCCTTGTACAGAGGAGCTGTCGGGAGGTCAAGGGTCAGAAACAGGAAGGTGGACTCCGACATCTGCTCCTGGTACTCCTCTGTCAGGAGCATCGCTTCTTTTTCTTCTGGTGTCTGAAAGGTTTTGAAGCAGATAATTTTAAAATAGAAAATRGCTACAGATAAACAAAGACCCACTGTCATGAGGACAATAAATAAAATGAATATAAAAAATTGCAGTTGAAAGCTCTACACATATTTGCACTTCCAAGTTATTCATTTTTTACTCAATGAAAAGTAGCCATGTGTAGTCCTGTTGAAACAGAACAAATGAAACTTGCACAAAAACACTTGACATTTTATTACAAATTCTAATTATTGGTTATCAAAAATCTGTTTTGCTTTGAGGATTCTTTGGAYAAGATATATTAAATTTAGTTTTGATTTTTTTTTCTCACGAGAAAAAGAAAGCTCACCAAGTCTGGATGAGGGAGTTTCTTGGAGAAGATCCGCATGGAGCCTTGAAATGCTTTTGTGATTATTGCTATTAGGTTGAAGAGAAACAAGAAACGACTTGTTAACTCTCAAAACTTAAGTTGCAAAATTAATTTAATCTTAAAGATAAAAAAACACAAATATTATTGCAATTAAACAACTTCTGAGAATAACATTGGCATTTTTAAAATATATTTTATATTATTTTCAATACGTCTTACACTCACATGGCTTTTTCTTTGTGCCTCCAAGAGCACCGTGAAGAGCGTTCAGGAACCACGTCATAAAGTCTACCGCATCACCTGCAAAAAAGAAGAGATTACCATAGGCTACGTTCACACTGCAGGTCTTATTGCTCAGTTCCGATTTTTTGAAAAAATCCGATCTTTTTGTGTGAATGTTCACATTACATTTTAAACGTGACCTGCATCAGACCCGTGTGAACGCAACACAGCACTGATGTGACACGCATGCGCAGTAAAAGACGTGACGTCTCATCAGCCGGCTTGTTTGTTTACAGACCTAGCATGGATGCTACATTTTACATATCGAATCCGATTAAATAATTATCTGACCTGCTTCTTTAGTTCAGTGTTTATATCTGAACCTGCCTCTGACCGGGATGCTCC